AAATTTTCAGGATGCTCCGCACGGGCGCGCGATTTTATTCAAAATTTTCAGCATGCTCCGCGTGGGCGCGCGATTTTCTTCAAAATTTACAGGACGCACCGCACGCGAGCGCGATTTTCTTCAAAAGTTCGAGGATGCTCCGCACGGGAGCGCGATTTTCTTCATTTTTCTTCAAAACGTGAACGAAGAAGACGAGCTTGAACGGAGCAGTCTGATATGGAATTGATATGAATTGATATAGGATCCATCCAGTAGCCACTCAGATTTCGAACGACGATGCCAACGAATCCTCTACCAATCCTATATTGGAAACCTCCGCCAAATGCCTCCTTCTCGAGCCCAGAAAACCACTTCGAACGAAGTACACCGGGACTGATTTGATATAGAATTGATATAGAACTCCTCGAAATCATCGTTCATAAATGATCCAAATTTTCCGAATGCTCCGCACGGGAGCGTCATCTGATCGATTTCGATGAACATAAATCGACGAAATTTCGAGGATGCTCTGCACGGGAGCGCGATTTCTGAGGAAATAAAGATGATCAAGACGTCAAAAAAACAAATTGTCTCGCGCAGGAGCGCATTTTTTGAATGTTCAAGAAGTGAGCAAAACCCAAAGTTATGGGGATGTCTCGCACGGGAGCGCGATCTTGCTTAACCGAGGGCGCGACCAGTTCGGATACGCCCCCCTCTAGATCAAGCGAGAGCGCGATTTTGAAGCGAACAAGGGCGCGTCCCAAATGTTTGCGCGACGGAAAAGTCGACAGTACATCAAAACAACCGGAACCCCACAGTGAAGGGGAATAACATCCTGAATAGTCAAAACCCACACATCAGAACCATTAAATGTTAATATGGAAAATGTGAGTATATACTACGTCCTAAAAGTTGCGAGCTGCGCAGTTACTGGAGTTATATAGTATATATGTGTATATGTATATGTATATGTATATGTATAGGTATATGTATATGTATATGTATATGTATATGTATGCATATACATATTTGCCATCTGCTCACGCCTAAGATATTTTCGACAGTTTCATGTCTCCTCATGTGAGCGTAAGCATAGCTTTTCTTGGCACACGGATGTTTTGCACGCCGCTTAATGTTACGAGTTTCATAATCAGTGTAGCACGAAAAGGCTGAGAATTTGTTGGCTCAAGGAGCAATATATTTACTCAATTTGCTTGTCTCGAAAACCCCAAAACGGGATTAGGTGATGTCACGATATGTGAAAAATTGGGAAGCTCTGGAAATGATTTGGAGCTTAGGCTCCCCACCTCGCCTCCGAAACATATCCAGGATCCCCTTCCCCACCTATCCCTCCAGGGAAGCCCCAAGGCCTGAGAGGCTCCGGAGAGTCCCAGGAGAGGGGGGAGGGCGGAAGTCTCTTTTTTTTTTTTTGGTTTTGCCCACCCCCCTAGTTTTAAGATATTTCAAATTTATGATATTTTGCGGACCACAAACGGTCGGCCCTCAGAGCGCAATTTTCTGCAAAACAAATAAGGACAGAAATGATTGCAGCAGCCACTCCTGGGCCTTCTTTTGTAAAGTGTGTGCGTCGTGTATGTCGTGTCGCGCTGCAGGCCTTCTGGTCCTCATGCCCTTGCTGTTTCAGCAAGGAAGAGATTCCAAGGCGAACGCGAAAATTCTTCGATGCTCCTCGAGCTTTCTCCACATTACGTGCAAGCTTGCCAGGCCGGTTCGTATGGTGTGCCGGAGGTGCTTCAGCCAGCGAAAGTCTTAGAGAAGCTGGCTGTTGTGTACAGCAACGAGTTAGCACGACCTATGCAGCCACAGTAGCTGCACTGAGTCCGTTCCAGCCGAAATATCTCCACACTTGGTCCCGGTCTTTCGACTTGTGAGCGGCCTCGGCTGAAACGTGCAAATGTGAACCTCTTTAGCTTGTGCAGCTAAGACGAACTAAGGAACTTGCAGCTGATTTCGAGGTTGCTGCTTTTTGTCACTAGCCCATTGATAGGCTTAGGCACTTGTTTCCTGCAGGTGTATGATGGCAGACACCCACCCCCGCTGCTGTACAAGGCCAGGCCAAAGAACAGCAAATCTCTCGAAGCTTGAGAAGCAACCTTTAGGAGCTGATCTTCGAACGTGATGTAGCAGGGCCTCGCGAACGGGATGTCCAGCAACCGAGTTAAGTAAGCCGCCAGAGTCAGCAGAGCGGCGTATGTCTCGCCCGACAGCTAAGGTCAGATATACGGTGTTGCAGCCAAGGTGCCTCCGGCTTTGACTGCAGACCTGTTATCAATTATCCATGGCGTTTCAGGCAAGCGGAGGGGCCAAGGTATGCTCCCCCCTTCTTTGTGGACACCGCGAGCCAAGGCCCCAAGGTCCCAAGAAGCGAAGCGAACTGTGGAGCTCGTAGAATTTGGTGTTAGTTCATGCTTTTGCCAGCCTAGCTTCTTCCGCCTTGAATTTTTCTTCTGAAATCGCAATCCAGCATGCTTCAGCCTGCTTTGGCGTTGAGGTTTCCGTTCCAAAGACTGGCGCCCGCTGGACAGCAACGCGTCGAGGATGGCATAGCAGACCATGTTGGAAGTCAAAGAGAAAACTGTTGCAGGCCTGACCCCGACGTGCAGGTGGAGGTCTGGTCAGAGCTTTGCTTTGGCTATTCCTGCATCAGTAGCCACTGGATTTTGCTCGTGCAGTTCATTGTTGGTTGGAAGCGCTCACTTCAGAAGTCTTGAAACCCGAATGGTTTGGATTGAAGCCCAAGCCTGGCAGCATCTGGGCTTTCTTATGCAACACCTAGTTATATGGCCACATGCTGGCAGAGCGATTCCTGTCCGTAGGTGGAGTTTACCGGCATGTTCAAGTACAGCATGGTGCAGACATTCCGGGAAGGAATGAAAATGTTCCCAGACCCAGCTTCCAGGCAGCAGTAGAAATCGTTGGTCAGCAGCTGATAGTAAAGGTACCTGCGAATGGGCATCAGCGAGCGGGATCTCGATGACTTCAAGGACGTGGCTTCTTGCAAGGGTCACTCAATCTGGTTTGTGAGTTGGTTCCGTCAGTGTCCTTGTTCTCATGCAGACCCTGTTGAGCGAAACTTGTTGTTCCTTGCAGGTTTTTATGGAGTCTCAGTATGGCAGACAGGGGTGGCATAGTTGTTCCTGTAACGAGCAGAAGCCTGACAGTCTAGGGGAAGATCCCAACTATGGGACACCTTTGCACGGCTTGCAGACTCACGCAATCGGACAGCCGTTCATAGCAAGGGAGTGGCGCGAGCTTAAAATGTCGCCCTGAGACGCAGCTCTTGAGGTGCTGAGGAAACCCACAAGAGACCTGCAAATTCAGATGTAGGGTCTGCTGCGTGCGGGGGTGCGTGGGCATCACGCGGCCAAAACACGAAATGACTTGTGATGTTAGTCTTGTTAGGTACCCCGCCTCACATGTGCAGGCCGCGCTATTGAGGGGAATGCCTCTTCCGTTTGGAAATGAAACTTTTAGTGAAATCATTGTCACCTTGGAAATCGTGGTTGTCAACTGCAGTAGATTGATTGCATTACTCCAAAGAATTCCAGAAGATATCCGAAAAGTTGAAAAGTGATTGCGTCCACTAGGGCGGAACAATTTGTGGCAGAGGCAAGCTTGGATGGTCGCAACAAGCCACAAGCCCTTCAAGAAGTCTTGATCTCTGTCGATGCGGGAGGCTGTCGGGATTGTGGTGCTGTTGTCCAGGCCTTCCTTTGGATTCCTTTGTCCTCATTTACCGACCCCTAATTATGCTAATTGCCTGGGTTGGTGTTTGGGCTCCAAACATTCTGAGCTATTGGGGGGATCTGGGCCTGCAGGTCGTTTGTCTTGTTTTGGTCATGCTTCACGGTGTCCTGCGAGGGTCGATGTGCAGATTTTCTGTCAAGTTTTCCGGATCCTTCAAGGGTCATGCTTTTCTAATCGCAAATTGTGAACACTTTCTGCTTTCTGACGGTTTTACTCAGAGTTGAGCTGTATTACGTCATGCTCATCGTGCACAGCCCGTTTGGTAGCCACATTTAAGTGGTCGCCAGTTTTGAAAGACCTTGAGCCACATCCCATGTCTATCTACATCAGCAGTAGTGCCAAAGCGCACCAGCTTCAAGGCGGAAACAAGCTCAAAAGGACTGGTGTTATTACTCACGGGCAGGTTTGGCCGCCATGTTGAATCATCAGGCGCTTGCACATGGCTTGATCAAATTCCTAATCAGGAACTCCATCCGAATCAGCAACTACGAGCGAGTAACTACAATGCCCGAATCAGGAACTGAAGATGTCCGAATCAGCAACTACGAAAGAACCGAATCAGCAACTACCACCCGCTGATCAGCAGCTACCACCTCCGAATCAGCAACTACCACCCCCATATCAGCAACTATGACTGGACTAAATCAGCAGAGCAGCTGAACTGGACCCTTTGAACTTTGGTTGTCAATTCAGACCGTTAAGTTAGGTTGTTGGGATTAGAGACTCTGATAGGGGAAAATAGTCTACCCAAGTATTGCCCGCAATCCTTCCCTGACGACATGCAATCCAAAATAGAAGAAGGGGCCGGTTCGGCTTCGGTTTGATAATCATAGGTTCAGTTCATCGGTTCGGTTGGTTCAGCTGTGCGGTTCACAGGTTCTGTTCATGGGTTCCACCGGGTCGGAGGACAACATGGGATTTTGTAGGGACTGGGGTACGTGACAATGGTTGAGATGATGCGTGATTGTGTTTGTGATTCGGGGGCATGGGTTTGATGATCAGTTTCCTGGGAAAATGGTGGTGCTGAAAATCAACAGAATGATGTCGAAGACGATGACGATGCGGAGCGTAGCCCGTAGCGGAAAGGATGGAAACCCAACAAGCGGCGTGCCCGTTTGCGGTCCTTTTGCTAATAAGGGTTTCTACTGGAAGGGGCGTGGGTTTTTGGCTCCCACTATAACAGCAACCCGACCCATGCAGGCTAGATGTTTTGCACAGGCCAGGAAAACCCAGTGAGCCGATGCTTAAATCCAGGTTTCTCGATCATTCGCAGACAAGACATCAAAGAGCCGCTGCATGGGGAGTAACTGTGCGGTACTTGCTTTGGCCTGCATGGAGCATTCGGCGCACCCACAAGAAACAAGAATCCGTGACCCATGTACTTGTGGGCGCCCAAAGGCCCACAACCTCCGAATTAACCAAAAAGCCTGAGTCGGGAATTTCCTGTGAATCGAGAACTAAAAGGACTGGCCGCAACTACGGACGCGGAATCGGTAACTAGGAACCGCGGAATCAGTACGTACAGGAGCCTAAACTGGAACCGAGCAGTCCGCAACTACGCGAGCCTAAGCTGCACACCTTAAATCCTCAGCAGGCTAAACTCCTAGGCCTGGACAAAGCAGTGAGTCGATGCCCAAATCCCGGTTTTTGGAGCGTTACCAGACAAGATAGCATGCAGGCGTCTACATTGGGATCTGATACTCGTAGGGTACCGATTAATGCCGTGGGGTACTTTTTGGCCATTCGTGGTACCTTTTGACGCCCACAACTAGCAGAAGTCCGGAGCATCACCAGACAAGACGCCAGAGAAGACGCCAGAGCGGTTTACATGAGGATTTGCTACTCGTTGGGTACCGATGAACGCAGTTGCCGATTCAGGCCATCTTTGTTGCCGATTGATACCTTTACTTTTGGTCACCGATTCAGACCTTTCAGCTACCGATTCAGACTTTGACCCGCATGGCTTGTTTCGATGATGCAAGAAGCGTTTTTCTGCTCCGCTCACGATCCTCAGCTGCGAGAGGACATGCTTTTCCGGCAGCCGCTGCATATTCTCCTTGCCCAGCAGGTTGGCTGAGATCAAGGCTTCCACCATGCTTGACACGCATGGACAACAGCAGGTCATTGGCTTCCTTCAAGTCACGCTACGCATGTGCCACGCTCAGGATCATCTTCACAAATTACTTGTAGTGGATTGAAGTAGCATTCACCAGTCTTGTGACGCGGCAGCCAGCATGTGAAAATTGCATCCAGAATGTTCTGCAGCAACCAGCGGGTCAGTTCATGCGGCACGGCCACGAGGAGTCGCAAGCCACGTCCTCTAACATGCTTTCGTTGGTTCTCCAACGCGGCGAGTCCTTCATACTTCATCGGATCCAAAGGAATTGCGCTGACCAGGACTAGCTCAAGGGCGAACTGTGGGAAAGTCTAGCTTGCAATAGATATGGTAGATGGCTTGCCCAGCATGATGACGTCAGCGTTGCTGAATCTTGCAGAGCTGCAGCCAAAAGAAAATGCTTTTGCAGGGCTACAGTCGGCCATCTTGTCAAGTAATGGCAAGATCGTCATGAAGCAAGAGTTGGGATGAACAGGCTGGCGTTCAAAAATGACATCACATTCTTCAAAGGTCGCCACGGGCCTGACATACTCACCATGTCTTTGAGGCGTGTACCTTGGTGGAATGTTTGCATACCTGAGGCTCTGACTACACCGGCTTGTCCAGCCGATCCCTTGCCACAGACACTCTGCAGGACCGGATTTGCAATTTGACCCTCATGGTGAAGCATCGCTGGTGGCAGGAAGTTGTGCTCTTCTTTTATCTTTATGATTTCGACGGCATCTCAAGGCTGCTGTTGTGGCAATTTGGGATGCCATTGGCTTAGATCATGTGGCACCAATGTTTGTTTCCATCATGCACACAAGCCGATCCTTTGGTTGCGCATGGCATTTTGGTTTGGGTCCCGACCGTGCTTTCTGCCTCTCCAGCGTCACAGCTGCTCATAATGCACCAAATGGTCCTGCAGCAACCTCTTCATCCAGCGCCGCGGAGCAATCCATTGTGACATAAGAAGCCTTGACTGGTTCCAGGCTGGCTCAACTATCCGCCAGATGCACTTGGTGACGATTTTGTTTTTGCATATAGTATAGACCTATGCTGCATCTGCGGTGTTACAAGACCATTCCAGATGAAGCAGTTTCGAAGCGCACAAAGGGATTCATGTGTCAGCTGACCACAATTAGAAATCTGCTCCGTCCTCGGCCGCAGGTCCCGCGTTGCACGCAGGATGCTGTGCTTGCGCTGTGCTAGCGGTTTTTTCTGCATGTGCTCGCGTGAAAGACGGGTGGGGCTCTGCGAGGAAAACCGTCATGTAAATGTGGGTTCACCAAACACCAAAGGGGCTGGGTGCATTGTGGTCACAAGATTCCTCGGCTGTAGCACCTTGGGGCCAAACCTCAACATAGGGCGGCCAGACTGCCGAAGGCAACGCGGCAAGTACCATCGCCATATGTCCACATCATAGAAAGTGTCCCCAAGTTTCTGTGGCAGCCAGATCGGAAACGTCTTCGGTGAGGCTCGACAACTCGGAAGAACAGTATGCTCGCAACTTGACGCCCCCGCTTGTGCTTGGCAAGACCATGAGCTTTTGAGTTCAAAATGCCTATGATCATTGCACATGGCCAGCAGGGGGAGCACAATGCAAATGGTACTGTGCAAGGGTTCTGGAGAGAGATGAACGCGACGCCACGAAAAGTTTTTAAAGGCAGCGCCTGCCCAGGAGACCTCCAGGGCAGTTCTTGGTACAGCTGCTTGGGCATGTCATACGTGGCACGCCGGCGCACCACCAGCAAGGAATGGAATCAAAGTTTCTCTCAACCAGAAGGGTCGTCGAAGGCATGCCAAGGCAACACTGACATACCAGATGAGCCACGGCCCAGCTTTGTTCATGACTCGGATTTGGAGGGCACCTGCCATGCCACTGGGGCCATGAAATCTGCATGCCGTGTTCGTGTCTTGATGTGAGCCCATCGCAGACCTTGCTCCTGTGTTTTAATCAGGTCTGCGGCCATCAGCTTCTGGAAATACGCGCGCAGCACCCTTCAGATGTCCCGGGTAGAATGTTCCATTGCATTGCTTTATGCGAAGCTGCATGATTCGTAATTAATGCAGGATTGCCAGCGGAGCTAAGACAGCATGCAGCGACTCAGGTGTAGCACGGCTTGGAACAAGGTGGCCCCAAACCTAGTCACTATTCTCGCGGGCAAGACCTAACAACTTTGGCGTGTTCTTGAAGATTCTACCCCCGCAATGTTCTGGGGCCTTTTCCTGACCAAGGGCTTACGCTTTGCCCTGGGCAAAGTATGGCCGATGCGCCTCCTCGACGTCATCGGCTGAATGTGACCAGGTTGGCCCATGTGGGCAAGTCGAAGCTGGAGTGACTTGAGCTGATTTTCAGGCGGGCGAGGCATTCACTGAGGACGTAGATGCTAGGCAATGTGGCTTTCATTAATAGGTGTCAAACAGAAGTTGTACGTGCCGTGTGCAGGGGTATGCGCTATTTGAAGTACGTCTTGTACCCGCTCTCTGCTGCTTGGGGAGTGTGTTCAGGCTGCATCTGAAGCATTCTCAATCTTAACCGTAGTCTCTGTGAATTTGGCAAGGTGTTCTCTTCGGATATTCTTTTATGTAATCTTGTGTTGTGCTGCCCGGTTCTTTTTGGGCCCAGGATGGTGTATTCCAGTTTGCGCTCACGCACAACAAAGGCGGTTTGTGACATGATCCTTAGGTTTAGCTCGTTGTAAACCTACCATGTGTATTGGCTCTGTCCGGAGAACGAGCATTGGGTCTGGACAGAACCCCCTGAGGCACGAGAGAGAGGGAGGGAGGATGGCGTGAGTACTGAGTACTTGCACACGCTGAGGTATAACTTGTATCATCACTCGTATAAAAGCTGGTGGAGTTGGATGATTTCATCGATGGCCTTGCAGCCTTGTTGAATGCTGATAATGGATGGAATTTGAAATATTGTCATGAGAATGCCAGGCAGACTTTGCTTATACGTTTGGCTTCGTGAACATGATGCCGTGCTTAAGCTGCATTATCCTAAGCAAGGTGGCGCATGCTTGCAGGACAGGTATTTGATGCCACAGAGTTGGAGATGCGGCGGTAGCCACGTATCCTTGTCGCGAACGCAAAAGCTCGGAGTGATCAAGATACAGTCATTTACAGTCTATCACCTGCGTGCATGTCAGGCAAATTTTTATCAACTACAAGTTGAAGTCAGTTGCAAGCTGCTCGGGCATTCCACCAGCTCGACAAGAGACTGCTGAGCAGCTTCTGCAGGCCCATATGCCCTGGCGTGTTTTGATGTACAAGTTCTTCAACACCTTCATTGACACTTAGCAGCACATGCACTTGACCGCTGGCTGGTCCTGTGACTTCATGCAAGCAAGGATGACATCTATGCTTTCGTTATCGCAGCCGACCAGATGACCAACAAGCACAGGCCCCTCCATGGCGAGTTTTTGAGCCGGCCTAGCACTGACACCTGGCAAAAACTGTGGAATCTGGGACAGATTAAGGCAAAATCGTGTGCTAGCACGCAAACGCAGAGGTGCAGCTTACGACTTGCCCTGCCCGCACAGCCCATCAGCAAAAGCACGAAAATCTAAGCCACTTGGAACCTCGCACGGCTTCTCCACCTGTGTAAATGCAAGGACACCCATGCCACCCATCCTCGATAAAATGTCCCCAGGATCCGGGACATTGTTCATTGAACGTCAAGTCTGGCCATTTATCCCCCCACCTTCGGACCGAGGAGCTTCTGCTAAACTCTTCCGGGCTACGAATTCCGCTCATTTGCTAGGTCCACCATTGAGATTTGCGCAAACTTGCGTATGTTTCCTTTAGCATCTTCATCTTCATCTGCCCCATTGCATCTCCTGGCACCGCTTCTATGGCCAGTTTTTGCGACTGGCAGCAAGGACCCCGCGCTATAGGGAAATCCGCTGAACAATGTCGTTGAGGGGGAGGCCGCAGCTCAAATCAAGCGCTTCACTTTTCTAGTCTTGCCGTCTGTGGATCCGGTCTGGCCTCCAGCACCTGCATCGGCCATGGGGGTAGTGAGTAGTGGGTCGCCGAGGCTGAAGAGGGAAACGTGCTTGAGGGTTTTGGTTACTAGGGGCTAGGGTTATCTTACATCGGTCCGGTTTTTTACGCATTGATTGAGCGTCTACTTGGGGAAACCATGTCTTGGGCTTGGCCACTCCTTAACAACATAATCAGGAAAATCCTGTTGATGACAGCGTCTACATGCAGTTTAGCTGTTTCAGCGTGACCTCCTGGTGTCGACTAGCGTTGCATCAGTTGAGCGTCTACTCAGGGAAACCATGTCTTGGGCATGCCCGCTCTGTAGCAACATAATCATGAAACTCTGGTTGATGACAGCGTCTACATGTTCTAGAATCCTCCTAGCAAGTACAGGATTTCCTTCGGGTTTCCGAAGCGAAATCCCATAGCAAAATCATTATTTTGGTGGGCTCCTGTTATAGAATCCCCCTAGCAAGTACAGGATTTCCTGCGGGCTTCTGTAGCAAAATCCCATAGCAAAATCAGTATTTCGGTGGGCTCCTGTTATAAGATCCACCTAGTAAGTTCAGATAGGTGTGACCATTTCCGCCATGGAGCCAAAGCACATCGTTACGGCTATCATACACCATCTGACTCGAAGCTCGCTCCGCAGGACCTGTGGCAGTCACGTGGCGCAACGTCACGCTTGCAAGCTCCAGCTGCCACAGATCGGCGTGAAAGACCCCGTGTGTATACCCTCCATGCAGCCAAATCACATGGCGGCTGCTGTCGTAGACCATTGCATGACTGCGCCGTGCGGATGGCTGCGTTGTACCCGTGAGCGAGGATCCGTTCCACTGTAGACTTTGCAAGTCTAGCCTCATCAAGTCGCCGTCTGGCACCCCTTCACACCCATGAAGCCACAGGGCCTCACTGCGGCTGTCGTAGACCATGGCAGGGACAAACCGGAATACATTGGGGGGGTGCGCTGCCAGCAGTTTTGAGCCAAAGAGCGTGGTGCTGATGATCATAGACCATCTTGTGCAAGGTCATGGCAGGAGGCTTCATGGATGTTGAAGGTGTACGCTTGCTCCACAACTGTGTCTTACCGTCAAATCTCCACAGGTCATCCATCTCCAAGCCAATTAGCCCACCATGGAGCCAAAGGCATTCAGTCCCGTAGCAAAATCCCACAGCAATATCAGCATTTGGGTGGGCTCCTGTCATAAAATCCCCCTAGTAAGTACAGGATTTTTTGCGGGCTCCTGTAGCGAGGTCTCATGGCAAAATCAGTATTTCAGCGGGCTCCTGTCATAGAATCCCCCCTAGTAAGTACAGGATTTCCTTCGGGCTCCTGAAGCGAAATCCCATAGCAAAATCAGTATTTTGCTGGGCTCCTGTTATAGGATCCCCTTAGCAAGTGCAGGATTTCTCTCGGGTTCCCGTAGCGAAAGCCCATAGCAAAGTCAACATTTTGGTGGACTCTTGTTATAGAATCCCCCTAGTAAGTACAGGATTTCCTTCGGGTTCCTGAAGCGAAATCCCATAGCAAAATCAGTATTTTGGTGGGCTCCTGTTATAGAATCCCCCTAGCAAGTACAGGATTTCTCTCGGGTTCCAGTAGCCAAAGCCCATAGCAAAATCAGTATTTCGGTGGGCTCCTGTTGCAAAATTCCCGAGTACATACAGCATGGCACGCAGGTGTTGATGCAAAATCCCCTAGTAGATGACATGTCTACATATTCTTTCCGGCTCTTCCAAAAACAGCGTCTCCTTGGGGATTTGCTGATGTGGGGTGGCCTTAAAAGCATGCGAAACATATTGCAAACGTTAGCATCTGCCACATAAGCGTCATTTTTACACCTTCTGTCCGGCTCTTCAAAACGCAGCGTCTCCTTGGGGATTCGCATCTCGTGATGCAGATTTTCCCCAATGATGTATATTTCCCCTGACGCAGCGTCTACATGGGGAGATGCATATTCTCACCGGCTGATGTGTGATAGCCCCGCCCCTTGTACCACATGCTTGATGTACTGACGAGGCAAGTCCTGATGCCACCATATGCCACTGTGCGAGAGCCAGGCCTCGGCGGCTGTCCAGGTACCCAAAAAGGTGCGGCTGCCCACGCTGGAGTGCCGGAGCGCGCACAGAACCGGGCGGGGCCATTGCAGGAACAACCGGCAGAAAGGCATCCCAATGCAGACTCTCATTCAACAGATTCCAAAATCTGCTGAAGTACGGGAAATATACATGTTGAGTGGACGCAGGCACCTGAGGCCAGCAAGAGCAACGTGAATGGGACAAGAAAACGCAGCCGTTGCTTCTTTTAGTTTAGGGTCCACGGGTTAAGGGGTTTAAGGTTTGGCTACGGCTCAAGGGTTTCGGCTTAAACTCCTGTTTTAATTTTTGGGGCGTGCTAGCTGCCATGGCCACTGGAGATAATCAACACTTGGCTGCTGGAATAGGTGGTCTGGACACGGAAGGTTTTCCGGTGGCAGCCACAGTCCTCAGCGATGATGAGAGCATGGAGCGTGATGCACGTTCGAAGGGTGACTCTGCATCCCCAAAGCGAGTGAAGCGTGAGCCAGAAGCAACTGCGGAGGACCAGCTTGCGATTCTCCTGGCTCAACAGGCGTCTAAGCCTGCTCAAACTACAACTGCGGTGGGCGGAGAGGTTGTTCCTGCGTGGGCTGCTGCTCTTCAAAGCTCCTTTCAGTCGAACTTTGCTGAGGTTAAGGAACTCATGAGCGATTATGGCACACGCATTCTGGCCCTTGAAGCAAAGTCCTCTACTAGCAACAGTGACCCTAGAGTGGATGATCTTGCTGCGAAGGTTGAGGCTCTGACACGCCTGGTCCAGGGTAGCCAAGCTCTGGACATGCGGCATCTCACCACGAGGATCCTTGGGCAGGATACCTTGCCAGGAAGCCTTCGCAGGCCAATGGTCCCAAACCACCTGCTCAGCCAGTGGCCAGCTCGGCTCCGAGACAGACTGCTCGCCCGCAGCCTACCTCTGATACGGATTATGATCACATAGTGCTGGGCGGATGGGACTTTGACAGCCCTAGACGCATCATCTTGCAGGACCTCGAAGCACTGCTGCAGAATATCCCGGAGCCTTTCACAGCTACATTGAGCGGACAGTTGTGTACGGCCAGCGAGAGCAAGTTGGCCACTTCTACCTCCGTGAGTGTGCCAATCCGGACGACTCAGCAGATCGCTTCTATCGGATGCAAGAACTTTTCTCCAACAAGACCCGGAACTCCAGCGGCTCTCCTATATGGTGGGCGCCTTCCAGAACCCCCGCCAGACGATTGAAGAACAGAGCCACACGAAAGGCTCGTGAGGCAATTCTGGGAGTGTGGAGCACAGAGCCAAAGCCTGAGCCTGAAATAGGATGGAACAAGCAGATCATCTGGGTTAATAGCAAGCGCGTCGCATCAATTTCTGTTGCAAGCTTGTACGCTCAGCCCTCTGATAAGGTGATTGCCAGAAGCTTTGAGGAAGATGGCGAAGTTCACAGGTTCCACTTCAATGTGTCTGTGCTGAAGGGTCTAACAGGAACCTCTGAAGCCGAAATCGAAATTAAGTTGCAAGAGTTTCGTGACTGATCACAGCCCATGAAATCTGTGTCTGAGCGCTTATACTTTGACTCCTGGAATCTCCAAGGAAAGTCTTTGCATGTTATTTCAGAATGGCTACAGGATTCAAGCAACCATGTTGAGTTCCTTTCACTTCAAGAAGTCGGAGGGACTGCAGCCCTTGCAACAGGTGAGGAGGAAGCATCTCCTGGGCCACTAAAGGAATTCATATTGCCTGATAATGCGCTTAGATCTTATATTTTTTGCCTGGTACTAAGGACCTCAGTTCTCACTTAGCTCAGGTGATTCTGCTGGCCAGAGAGAGTGTTGAGTGCATCTCAGACACTTGCGTGGGCGAGCGGTTGATTGGCGTTAAGTACTTGGCCCCTAGTTCCACTAAGCATACATGGGTTTATTCATGCCATTTGCTTCATACAGATTCTAGTGATGATACCTTCGCTGACAGCCTTGCAGAGATTTCAGTGCGTTGCCGTGATCTCCAGGAGGACCTGACAGTATTCATAGGAGATTTCAACTGTCCTTTTGGCACTTCAGCAGTACAGCTGGACGATCTCTTTCAGTCCTATGGCTTCCTTTGCCTCCGGCCTGGCGCTGCTGCAAGATTTGGTGCCCGATCTTCTTCCGAGCTTGACTATGCATACATCAGCAGAAAGTTTGCCGCACTAGTAAGTTCCCCTGATCCTTTAGCCCAAGTAGTCTCCCCCTGTTTCAATTCCCGCCTGGCCATGGGCAGTGACCATGATCGAATTCACACTTACCCTTACACTTGCTCCAACCCGTGCCAAACGTGCTCGTAGAAGACCCAAGCGCGGTAAGTGTGGTCGCTGGAGTGTGGGCACTGACCTTGCTGCACGCGTGTCCCAGTACAGCGAAGGCTTCGGTGAACTCCAGCTCACGGGCAAGTGGGAGGTACTTAAAGCGATTCAGAACAATTGTTGTTATCGCACTGTTCCCAGAAGTACCGTGATAGTGAAGCTCTCAAGGCCTTACGCAAGCGACGACGTAGTTGTGCTGACCCCGTGCAAAGACTGGAGCTCACGAGGCTTATCTTGGCTAAGAGACATGCCGAGAAACTAGTTTGGTTGAAGAACTTGGAAGCCAGTGCTGCGGATGGCGATGCACAAGCAATACGGTATCTTCGTTTCCGTAGTACGACACGCATGGCAGTGTGCAATCAGCAGCATGCAAGATTAAAGAGCACTTCTCTGAACTATTCAGCCCTCACATCCCGGCAGATCAGCGGCAACGACTCAATGAGACTATTCAGGAGTTGCAGTATGTGGCAGGCTCCTATGCACTGGTTCCTTTCACGTCGGATGAGATTGAATCGGCCCTCGGCAAGGCTAAACTTGGAAAGACCTCTGGAATAAGTGGAGTTTCCTATGAGTTGTTGGTAGCAATCTGGTGCTTGCCGGAGGGGCGGGACATTCTCATTGCCTTCGTGAATGACTTGCTGGAGTCACCTGATCACCCGCTCGAGCTCCGCGATGGGTTTGTTGCACTTGTCCCGAAAGTGAGCCATGTTATGCATCCTCAGGATATCAGGCCGATTAATCTCATCGAAGCGTCTAACAAACTGTTCTGCGCGTTGCTTTTGAGCCGTCTTGTGGTGCACTGGCCTGCGCCCTTCGTGCAGTTTGGTGGGCTCCAGGGTGGTCAGGTGGCGGATGCCTTGGCAGCTGCTAACTGACAAGTTTACTCTGAAAGCATTGCTGATGTAAATCGGGTCTGGTGGAATGCTGACATTAAATCAGCTTTTGATTCCATCCAACATGACGCTGTTGCCAGTTTCATACGGGAACATTCCCCTCCGTCAGTTGCTCGCGAGGCGCTCCAATTGCTCAGGATCGTCTGTAGCCCTAGCCTGCATTTCGAGTGGCGCGGGGAGCGCTGGTAACTTCAACAGTCGCAGGGAGTACAGCAGGGGCATACCTTCAGTGCAACTTTGTTTGCGTTCATTGTGGGTCACATTGTCCAGAATGAGTTTGAGCAGTTCAAGCTTGCAGATCAATCCAACCAGCTAGGCAATTTTGGATGGTTGTTGTTCGTTGACGATCTTCTTGGCCATTGTTTTGCACTTCAGTCTGAAAAAGACCCAAGTCTTTGCGAGACCTGAGATGCTGGAGATTGGGAGGTCGATGGAGTTTCCCTCGGGGCACTTACTGAACTCCGTAGCGTGGGTTTCTACGACAAAGTACTTGCGTAAGCAATTGCGACATCTGGCAGTGGGTGAGACGTTGTATGATGTCTGGCATCCCTTTATTGCCACCGCTTTACGCTTACAATTGCAGGTTTTGCTCGTGACATTTGGATGGGCTCGGCACCCAGCCCTCCCCTGCATAGTCATGAAGGCCCTAACCTCCAGGCGGCAGTTTTGTTTGACTTGCTGGAGGAAACACGTGACTTGGTTCAGCAGCTCCTACGGCATACATCCAACTCCGCAATGCTCAACTCTTGTTTCAAGCTCTTGCGGGACCCTGCTCCTCAGCCCCTGCCTAGGCTGTCCCTTGGTAATCACATCTTGTCTGAATCATGAGTCTATCCAGGAATGGGTGTCTGCGCTGCACTCTCAATGCTCCTGGCCGGACCCTTTCGATGAAAGGTTGCATGCGTTAGTTCTTTCTAGGTGTCAGCAGCTGTGCGCATCTGCTACTTTACAGGACAGAACGGATGCCCGCAACAAAGCAGTCGCTGAACAGGAAGTGGTGTGCGTGAGAGAAAATTGGGCGTCCTCAAAGGGCATGCCCCCTGACCTTCTTCCCAGGCACTCTTCCAAGCAGCATCAGCAGGTTGGAACCTTGTGGTGTGGGGCTTACAAAGATGGGCAGGGCCTGGTGGTGCTGCCTACCGACCTCACCTGTGGCGCAAGTCCGCATTGTGCCCCGTGCACAAAACCGGCCCTGCAAATCTGGCGGCAAGCTTCAGGCTAATTTTTGTCAAAACTCAGCTGGGACTTATGCAGGAAGCTTTGCTCACGCAACGCTGGCTTTCTACTGTCCGCAACCACATCCAACCCTGCCAAAGTGGTTACATCAGAAGTATTGATGACGCTCACCTGTTGCTCCATGAGGCTTGCGCAGGAGCAATGTTCCAACACAGGCCATTGTGGTTTGTCATGGGGGACTTTCAGAAGGCTTTCCCTCGCGTTTGCCGTCAGGACCTTCTTTGCGCTTTAGCTGACGGCCCTGGGGTGCGTGGGCCAAGCTTGCGGTTGCTGGCAGATATCCTGAAGTCTGACTCCGTCCTCGTCTGGTACAGTGGAGTTAGCCAAACAACCATTACTAGTGGCATTCCCGAAGTGGGTCCTTGGGTCCGTTCGCGTACCCGGTTTTTCTGGACTCCTTAGTCCTTCGCATTCTGGCCTCTGGGGGTGGCCTCGGTGTGGGCTGGCCCATACCCGAGGCATGGAAGCACAGATGCTGGTCGGGCATTGGCACTCCTGACCAAACCTTGGTGTCATCGCTCAAGCTTCTTCTTTCTGCTGGTGGGCATATGGAACTCCTTCCTTCGGCTACTCTCCTCTCCTGGACGAGAATGTTGTCCTGGAAGCTTCAGCGCTCCAGGCCTTAAACGACCTTGCGCCCTGGAAATTGGCAGCCATCCTACACGCTGATGACCCCGTGCTCCTGGCGTGCTGTGGAGGAGCGCTGCAACTGTGCCTGGAAACGCTTTCTCTCTGGGCTTTCGAGCGCAAGGCGTCCTTCCGCGTTGGAGAGAAGAAAACCGTTGCCATGGCTACCCCACCAACACCACGTGCCTGTGACCTGCCGCGGGTCGAACCCCTTGTCCTACGAGGTCGAGGTGGCCAACCTGCACGTTTTTTGGCTTTCAAACTAAGGCATAAGT